ATTTTAGATTTTTACGTGAACTTTGGGTAAGTTCATCGTTTCTGATCCGTTTGTGAGGAGAGTAGCGGAACAGAAAGCCTTGGTTAACGAAGATGGGGTAAATTATGACATAAAATCAAATACTCATGGAGTGGACATTGATGAGCGTTTGATTATTATCTTCGTCGTTGTTTAAGAGTCATCTTCAAAAATGGACTCTTTATTACTTTGATTTTCGTACAAGATACGCTTATGGCTGCCAAAAAATACTACATGTAGTTCTTTGAAGGCTAAAATAGTCTTCAGGGGCGTAAATAAAAAAATATCTATATAAAGTTTCATAGAAAGATTTAAATGATATAAAAAAAATCTAATATTTCTATTAGAATGACTGAATTTGATTTTTAAACACTTAACTTTGATAGCTGTTGATATATCACATAAGATTCAATAAACAATATCGTATAGTCCAACTTCCAAAGATTTTGTCAAAAAGTGATTAGACAATTAAAACTAGTAAGTTAATTATATTTTGGAATATTTAGATTATCTTCCGATTAAAGCGGTTTTATAGTTGAAGATGCAAAATATTGGATGACGCAATTTAGTACACGTATGGAGAGAACGTAAATTAAAAGATTTCTATTATAAACATATACATGTATTGTTATAGAAACTGAATTTATAATAAATTGATGTTAAGAGAAATCTTCAATACCGTTTTTCCATTTAGAGAATAACAAGATATATATATATATATATATATATATATATATATATATATATATATATATATATATATATATATATATATATATATATATATATATATATATATATATATATATATATATATATATATATATATATATATATATATATTGTTATTCTCTAAATGGAAAAACGGTATTGAAGATTTCTCTCTCTCTATATATATATAAACACTGTAACTATGTCAATTTTAATGACAGGAAATCTTTAAATGGTTTCTTCTTCCCATTGATGTGTAAAGGATTTTGAAATTTTAATCATTTTACGCCGATTTGAAAATTACAGAAGGTATTCATGAACATACAATAGAAAAACCATATTAAATGTTAGACGCCTATTAATTTAGTAGAATTTGACAAAAAGTATAAATTGAGACCTGGTTTATAATAAATATAAGTCATAGAATTTCGAGCTTTATAAATCCGGACATTGGCGTGTCAAACCTCGCTACCGGTCAAGAAGATTGATTCAATATGCCTTTTTCACTTTTTTGAACCGTTCACGGTAGCTCAGTCGGTAGAGCGCTCGCTCCGTGATCGGGAGGTCGTGAGTTCGAATCTCGGCCGCGACAGACCTAAGTCGATAAAAAAATCGGTAGCAACTGTTCCTTCGCCATGCGCTCGGCACTTTGAAGTGAAAGTTGCGAGTCCTTCGGATGAAACCTTAAAAACCGAGGCGCCGTGTAACGGCAGGCGTTGGCACGATAAAGATCCCTCACTGCTCAATGGCCATGAGTGCCGAGTAAAGGTCAAGGTATATGGTGACGTCTCTATATGAGTGAAAAATTCTCGAATGGGACGTAAAACAACATACAATCAATCAATCAATCACTTTTTTGAAGTCCAATCAGAAAAGGAAAAACAAGTCAGTGAATTGATATGTGAATAAAACCAAAACAGTGGATTAGAAATAAATAATTATGATATATTCTGAGGTCAAAGATAGATGTTTCCCATATTTAAGGCAATAGACGTACATGTCAATGCCTTTGTACAGTCCTAAAATGGTAGATTGGTTGTTGTTTAACATTCCAAAGTGCTTTTGATATGGTGCAACAAATTTTGATCTAAGCATGCCACTTACTTCCGTAGGTACCAGTAAGTGAGCGTTCTTTGTTGTGCCAACACCTACTGTACCATGGCTTTCTCGATCAAAAGCGCAAAAGATACGTCTAATGCAGGGTGCTTCGTGAGGAAATCGTACCCGACCTCTCGAGCGTCGAAGCACTAGACTATAAGACTATCGCCACCGATCACTCTTCAAAAGAAAAGAAAGAAAAAAATACACAGAAAAAGATGCATCAATTACTAATTTTTTTTGAAACTCTTATTTTTCCAAAGTGAAACCTTCGGCTCCCATATAATCTTTTTTTTAATGAATAGACAATTAGTCATGGTCTGCTCGAGATGAAGTGATAGAAAGTGTGTGTCGTACAGGCAACAAAATTAAGCAGACATTGAGAGTTCAAAAGTCATGGAAATTATTCAGCCGGGAATCAGCCCTGAAAAACTGAAAGCGATATAAAATTGGCTTATGTGCTTAAGAAATCTTGGTGAAGTATTGCAATTTTATGGAAAGTTTTTGTTCAAATTTGCGAAAAAATGTTTTATATGAATGCTGTTTTCTCTATTTTTGCTGGACATTCATCATAACACTTTTTGGGTGTTGCCTGCTAACCAGAGATAGGAATAGCTGTGTCCGACGTCTGTCTATATGTATGACACATCATTTACCATGGAAACCGTGACTGGTAGAGATCTAACTTTACGTTTAATACAAAAAGTTCTTGTCAAAAGAGCGTCAAGTAAATGTCAGGGTAACTGACCTTGCACTTGATCTTTGTTCTGCTTTAAAATTTTACTGTATTTTCCAATATTCTTTGCTCGGCAGATAATTGAGCTTCTGTATTTATCATGTAAATTGCTTGTCACAATGACTATAATATACATGTATTTGTAGCAAACCTTGTGACCTTACTTGACCTTTGATTTACTAGTGAAAGAAATGTGATTTTTTGAGACTTCTTAAGGATATGAAATTTAGGATGTGAACATCTTCGCTAGCTTAGAGTCCTTGGCCTACGGTGCTAACAAAAGTTGGGATTTTTTTTCTCAAGTTGTGATTGGATTTGATTGATATCGTTCGACCAATCAGCAATTGCTATTTGTAAATGACGATATTTGCGTTCGATATATATCTTTAATCTCGGGAATGAAAAACACATAACCAACGATCCGTAACATGCCATTCTATAAATAGCTATGGTGTCATCTAATCTTAAGTTGATGTGCAAATAATTTGATCAGGAATCTGTATTGCAGATGTGGCTTTGCACCCTAAATAATAAATAAATATCGTTCGATACATTCGTGTTAATTATTCTCTACACACTTTAATTTTTAAATTCGCTTTTTATTTCTGTCGATGACGCAATCTGTGTGTACTAGTAAGTTGCAAGATTCGAGATCACATGACGTAAACAGTCCCGACTTTTGACAGCAGTGAGCACCATAGGCCAAGGGTTTGTGGGGAGAGTAGCAGATCAGAAACCCTTGGCTGGCGAAGATGGGATGTGAAATGTTCGTCAGATCTTTTAGAAAAAGGCTCATTTTCATATTTATGATGCACGATACTCATAAACATGTATGGCTTCAAGGTTTAAAAAGGGTTCCTTTTTGTATATTTTTTCCAAAACTCCATTTGAAATACTTGATGAGCAGCTTTTGACTGATTTTGACCTTAATTTGTCTTTTGAATTGTTTGAGAAATTTACACAATTATAATATATATATTGAAAAGCAATACAATGTAGATGAAGATTTGATATTTAGCATGTCGATTTCCTTATGCTTAAGGACCACTTGGTGTCCTTGGCCTAAGAATTTGACCTTTTTTGTAAACTTTTATAAGATCAAAGAAACAAACGTCGTCATAACCCAAGACGTTCTAATAAAACACAAACAACACAAATAATGCCATCCCTTAATTAAACTTATTATTATTATTATTATTATTATTATTTGGTTATTTTGTTCCCATAATTTTTGGCGCAGCTCTGAATGTTAAGTCCACAATGAATATCTTAATGCGAGAATGATCTTTGAGGCTATAACAAGTGTTTTGCATGACATAATTTCTTATATACAAGATAAGGTAACACATTCAATCATTTCAACATTTGCTTATCACAGAAAAACGTTTAATATCAGTTTCTCTAAGTACAGGCATTTAAAATTTTTATTGGTGTTTGAAATTCTTAGCACAAATTGAAATTGACCTTCTCCATCACGATGTGTACCTAACAACATTTTTTGCATCAAAATTTATGCCTATGTGGTTCCAAATCAGGCGAGTCTGTTTATTCATGTAGAGTTGAAAAACACATTTTAATTGAATTGAACAATTAAACATAATGATAGCACCTTATTTACAAAAAACAAAATTGCCAAAAAATACAAAAAAATTAAGCTAAAAGGTTGCTGTAGCATTATGTTTTTGAATAACGTTCATTTTATACATCGAATTACATGGTTCATAAACTTCATTATCAGTTAGTAATTGCGAAATACATTTTCTAATTGAGTAAAAATCAACTAATTACCCCTGTCATAACTGGATTGTGTTTAACTGTGCACCTGAATCTTTATCTATTTCACGACTTTTATGTCTAATTCTAAAAAAATCTATCCGTGTCCAAAAATATTTGAAGTGTTTCATGTGTCTGTGGGAAAAATCTATGGTTCTGTAAAGGTGTACTACACGTATTGAATATTTTAGTTATCAATATATAAACAACAAAGTGACAAATAAATTGATATCTCGGTTGTTTTTTAAAGTAATATTTTGTGTAGCATAAGAAGCAAATTATAATTTAGTTGTACTTTCTTTTAATATCAAGAAATATTAGTGCGATACTTGAAATTGATACTCTAGCTTCATCAAGCAAGTTTGTCACTCAGGAAGTTAAGAAATGCATTTATCAAAATTTGATTGGTTTTAACACACAATTTCCTTGTCTCTATATTTAACTAATAAAATTCAATCACATGACAATTAAAAACAAACTCATTACCATAATTATTAATCATCTTCTGAACATAATACTGCAGAGACACACAAAAGGTTAATTTCTTAATAGAAATGTCACAGAGCGATTATCCAGCCATGTAAGTGTATTTTCTTCACGTGAAATTTGACAGCTTTGTCATTACGTAGTATGATGGATAGGTCCCTGTAAAATTTTGATTTTTGAATTGTCATATATTAATTTTGGACGGGAGAATACACGCATGCTCTCTTTCTCCGAGAGCATCGGTGTAAGGAGTCATTAGCGGAACATCAATTTTTTCATCTTCTGACTTACAAAAAGTAGTTAAAGGTATGTTATACTAGTATTTTGAACGAATTTTCTTTTTAAATTCAATTTATGATCTAAAGATGCAAATTATTTTTTTCCTGAAAAAAATATTTTTTCCCAATAAATTTGGGGGAAACAGTGTAAAAAAGAACTGATTATCTTGGTCACATATATATAGATATCCGGAAATGTCTGTGTCTTCATTATTACATTTACTGACGTATAAATGCTAATTTGTGTTTTCCTCTGCCCTCTGCGTGTGATGGACTGTTGTTCTGTGACCATGTCAACCATGTGACCTTTTGACAGAAACAAGAACTATATCAAACAAATTGTCGCTTATTTTCTTGTGCTCTATCTTTAAGACAACAAACTGGAAATTAAATGATAATTGATTACCGAAAATGCTTTGGAGAAAATCAAGTAGGTATTTTTGTTTGTTTATTTTGTTAAATTGTTCTTGCTTTAAGTTTTTTTCTTCATTTTTTAATTTCACTGGTATGTTTTGGTTTCATTTGTTATGCTTTTTTCAAAATAGGAAATTATTACTTTCTTTAAACTTTGAAATTATAAAAAATTGTAGATGATAAAAGAATAAATTTGTAAGACATGACATGACATAGCAACTATTACTTAAATAGCTCAAAGCTACATTTTTATTATTTATGGTGCCTATTTTTGTAATTTCCGTCTGTGATATGCATTTTCATTAAGGATGCTATAAACAACGTCAAAGAATACTATAAATATTTTATTTAATGATAAGTAATTTGTTAACACTTAATAGGATATTAATAACAATGACAAATAAAATTTTAACCCGACGTAGATATAAATAACAGCCATTGAAGCAAAAGCTGGCTACTTTCCATAATGCTAATTTAAAACATATGTAATCACTAACAGGTTAAACATGCGCTTTGGTGTAAGAGTTAGATAAATCACATTAAAGTCGACCACTTTATCTACAAATTCCCCACGTAAAGTTTTGTCGTTCTTCTCTAGTTGAATATATTACCGGCTTTTAACCTCGTCATTATTGCCTCTGACAATTCGTGTGACGTAAATGAGGATGTATATCTGTCATTATTAAGGTGATTTTCCCCCAACAGTCCAATTGTTTAGTATGTCTCTTAGGCTCATTGTCATGAAATATTCTTTATATGTTTCTCGATCGGTTTTTCTGCTCATTGAAAGCTTGAAATTAAGCAACATTTTATCATCTTTACGGGTAAAAAAAAATCTCAGGAAAGATACGAGATTAAAATTCCTGTGATGTCACGAACCGTGATGACGTAAAATGTAATAATCGACAGTCATTGCATTTTGTGTCAAGGTTAACGCAAAATGCAATAAATTTATATGTAATAATCCTTTTAGTAAAAAAAAAAACACCAACATTATTGAACACCATCATGATCATCACGAATGAGACTCTTCAAATGTTTACTCTGAATAATTCCCAAATTGTCAACTCAGTTGTTAATGTTGGGTTTATTACTTTTTTTTTTTACATTAACACAAAATGTAATGAATAAAATGTAATACCCTTGTGAATAAAGAATTACAATACATGTACTCCAACCGTATTGATAAAACAAAATCATTACATATGCGACCCTCGAAATGTTTACTCTAAATATTCCAAAACTGTCAACTCAGTTGTTACTTTTGGCTTTATAACATTTTATCTGACATTTGTGCAATAAGCTTATGACGCTTAATGTAATAATTATGTCATAACATTTTGTAACTTATCTTTGATCTTTCGCTAATTAGTACGCTTCAGTTCAACAAACCAATGAATATATTTTTGGATGGAACAAGATTTATTTTATTATTTTCAATTACATCATCTTTGTGCAATCTTTGTAACAACGGATAACAAATCTGTATAATTAAGCTCCTACTTATTTCTCGTCAGTTAATGATGCAGAATATTCCAATCTTTTTTTTTTTTTTTTTTTTGTTTTTTTTTGTTTTTTTTTTTTTTTTTTTTTTTTTTTTTTTTTTTTGGTTTTTGTTTTTATTTTATAAAAATGTTTGCTAAATAAATAGCAGGCTTATTTTATCAGCAGACTTTCATGTTAATGAATATCGGAATAGTTTCAGTTAAGTATCCAAATTTAATTGCCTTCATGGATATGATATTTTCCTTTTCTGGACCGCATGGATTAATCACGTTTTACGTCATCATACATTGTCTTAATGTTGACCAAAAATATGGTGTTACAAAGTGCAATTCCGTGAAGATTATAACAATTGCATTGTTAGAAAATTCCAACATTTTGGAACGATGTCAAAACCTTACTGAATGATTATAAAATTAATGATTTCCTATTTCCTTTGAACTCATATTCTTGTAGGTATTGAATAAATGATATACAAAATCAAAGATATGTCTGAATTTCAAAAATATTTCATAAATCCTTCGTTGATTTCTTGAACTTTCCTTGAAAAATCGTGATTGGTACTGACAAAAAATGAAAGAATCACCTGATTGCCCCCAATAAATCTTATGTCATTATGAAAAGTGCGAAACAATCGGAGCCAAGTCAATCAGCATGATTTATCGCCAACACACAAAAATATATAACGATATAATCAATGTGTGCAAACGTGCTAATCAATGACACAGTGATAGATAGCTTATAAGAGATATAAACATTGCTGTCAACATTTCTAATTACCCAGGCATTAATTGCTACACCTTCAAATTCTCCGAAATTAAGAAAATCTCTTCAGTGTTAATTTTACCTCACAAAACACTAGGAGGAGAATGAACGAGAGGCTCAAAGGCTAGAATACGCTTCTGAGTCAAAGTTCTCTTCCTTTGAAAAATATCCAAAGAGAAATACACTAAATAAAGTCAGGATTTCAACACTATCAATTCACAGTATATTGATACTTGATATCATGTTTACAGACTGTAGCCTTTTTGTACTTGCATAAGTCTAATATATATTTTTGTTATTTTTTTATTTTGGCCCAACCCTCTCCCCAGAAAAAAACTGAATTATGCTGCCTTGAAATATTTTTCACTTAATTTGACTACTTGTGATCTTGCTCCTCCGACGAAGAGGATCTGAAAGGTATTTCCTGTATACCATGTAAAACTTGAATTCCCAGTAATGACCTCGCACTATCCAAATTAAAGGGGCTATAATGTGGACAAAATTGAATCAACATTACAAAGAAACGCTTGCTTAGTAGTTGTACTTAGTGGGACAATACTGTGAATCTGAAAAAGATTTAAACTTTTTCTATATATTCCAAGTAAAATTTTGACACCCTATTCTAGGCCTCTTGAACAATATGGCCCTATATCCTAACTTGGGAATGTGCTTTAAGGTGAACAATGTTTTGTTTATAATACATGGGTATGCATGTATATTACATGTACTACGACTAATTGCGGTCCTCTTATGATTAGGCTTCGTCATAACCTCACCTGATTTTTTTCACTTGGGGGGGGGGGGGGGGCTTCCCTCATTTGAACAATGTACCATTACTGAGAGATGCAAAAACGAAAGTGAATTGAAACCAGCAAATTATTCATTAACTGGTAGTGTGTAAAGTCAACTTTCCCATGGACCTGTGTTTTACAGGAAAATAGCCCACGTAGAGAAAACATATTAACATGTTACAGACGAAGAGCAGAATGGATTCGTGTCCATTAAAACCATGAACGTCCTCTTAAGCCCTTGACCAACATACATATTAAACATTTAGGTGTGTCAACATCGGTAAAACAAAAGCATGTGAATGGATGAAAATCTCAAAATAAAAGATCTGTCACAAATTGAGAGAAGTATTCAATTATCCAAAAAATAACATTTTTATGAGTTAATGAATGAAGTTGAAACTAATCCTAGGTTGTTTAATTCAGCTCCAGACCTTAATTATTCCTTTGACACTTCACAAAGAAGAATGTCTTGTTAATTCACTTGATGTTATTCACAGAATACCCTTTCAGATGAATTGAACATGTCATTTCTCTTGATGTTTTAAAACTTAAAGCTTGTCATTGAAAGAGAACGTTTCAGATATGTAATAATAAAACTTGCGTTATTGCATCAAAAACCACTTACCACAAGAATAATTGTTTTGTTACACAGACAGTAATCATTTCTTCATAAAAATAGCCATAAATATTTCATTTTATTTATAAGACCATAACTTCGCCCAACTGGTTTTTCACGGCGTAGACATTACATTATTAACGAGTGCCTCAATCATTAGTAATCGCAAGGAGATTTTGAATGATTTATAAAAGTTCAATTGAGACATAATTTCCACATCTAAAAGCATTTTAGTGATTCCTACATTTTTTGTGGTTGGGTTTTTACATCTGACCTCATTGACCTACATTCCAAAAAGAGGTTTTTACAATATTGACAACTGATACATATTTCTTTCAGATGATTACCATGGGAACGCTATTCCGGCTAGGCCTTATTGCGACTCTGTGTATGTTGGTCCAATCCAAGATGACCATCATAGACACTCCCGAAGAGCTGAAGAGCTGTTTCGATCAGCCTCGTTTTCACACCAGAGAGATGGACCCTCGTCTCGATAATGTTCATCAGTATTGTATTCAAAAATTCAGATGGCATCTTCAGGCCCTTAACCCAAACATTACGACAGAAACAACTCACTGGATAGACGAGTTATTACGTATGGCCAACAAGGAGGCACGAACCAAGAGACAATCCTTGAGAAGACGAGTGGAAATCAGACGGGCAACAGATCAACAACGACAGGACTACTTCAGAGCCATCAATATGCTGAAAAGAGATACTGTAAATAACTGCAAATTTACATTTTTAAAATTTAATAAATAAGTTCAGTTTTAAGGACTGGAAAAGATCCCCAGCCTCTTTGCTAAATGTCACATATTTTGTAGATTATACAGTTGTTAACATATGTATCAATACTTTACTTGGTATCCTTTAGACGTTATACTCCTTTACCAAAGACTGGATTGTTTTTTAAAATGGTATAATGTCTATTGATCCTTTCAGGATGTCAAACCTAACCGTTTTGATGCCTTGGGACTGCTTCATCAACAAAGAGGTGATGACGTCCACCATGGAGCTGCTTTCCTGGCTTTCCATAGAGTTCTTCTACTTATGTAAGTTTCTTAATCAACATAATTTCAAGTACATGCAAGATATTGAGTCACAAGCTTGCAGCAACTGGGTTGGTACAAAATGTTTACAGAAGCCTTTATACTGATTTACAAAACTATCTTTAAAAATCGAAAACAGTAAAACGAATATAAATTTATGTATTATTTATCATTTTAAAAATCTAATCTGAAATACTCTAAATACTTCCCTGTCTTTCAGGTACGATAATGTATTTTTAATCAATTTACAGCTTTGAAAATGCTCTCCGACAGAAGGTACCAGGGGTGACTTTACTCTACTTTGATTCTCGTCTCGATCAACCGCTTAGAGATCCCACTAGGTCCATTATATGGTCACCACAGTTCGTGGGAACCATGAAAGGTCGTGTTATTGATGGACCATTTAGATACTGGCAGACACCAGCAGGACCTCTTGTTCGAGCTGGAGGTCATGAGGGAGAATATTTCACCTATAGACACATCCGGGCAGTCATGACAAGATCTACTTTGGAGGAAATATCTGAGCCTCATGCGCCACCACCGTTCGACTTTGAAATCAGACATGGTGATGTGCACCAACACATTGGAGGCATAATGTCACCAGCTGAAACTGCTGCATACGATCCAATTTTCTATCTCCATCATTGTTTTGTGGATTACCTGTGGGAAGTTTTCCGAAGAAGCCAAAGAGAGAAAGGTGTTGATCCAACCAGGGATTATCCAAGACGTTATGGAACGGCTGCCCATGCTCCAAACTCCTTGATGGGACTTGGAAGACTTCGAAATCTTCACGGAATGAGCGACATGTATACTACAAGAATGTATACTTATGAGCCTTCGCCAACGTGTAGTTACAGAAATCCCAGCTGTGGATCACGTTACCTTACGTGTGAATTCCAGTTTGGACGACCACAGTGTGTTACATTGGAAATGATCACTCCGACTACCCCAACAGCACCGTTCGGATCTGCCACAAATCAACAAACGCAACAACGAACAACACAGACATCGCGATTCCCAAATTTCCCTGTGGGCAACAGAATTCCTCAATTCCCACCTAGATTTGGTAGAAGAAAGAGACAAGCAGGAGTAATAGACGCAAGCCGAATGTCAACCATGGGACAGAATGTGCTGTCTCAATTCGGACAAAATGGACTCGCAAGGTTCGCACAGAACAGAACAGAACAACAAAAAGAACACCAGCAAAAAGTTCAAATGGGTTTCTCAGAAAAATATGAGAATAATGTGGATGTATTTCAAAGATTAAAGGAAGGAGATAAAGAAATAATTTTAAGTCCTATGACAAACATGTGCCCTCCAACTGTCCCAACAAATGTGATTCAAAACTTGTTTCAGATGAATGGTATATCAGACAGCAGAATTTGGGTATACATACCTGTCCAAGTCATATATAAACGACAACATGAGCAGATGGTATTCGATTCGTTTCCGATTGAAGAAGGACAAATGAAAACCGGAAAAGATATATATGATCCAACCGGTTATGACAGTTTAAAAGGAAAATTCATTCAAAATGTTAACTACTCTCGATCTTGTCGAGACATGGACGGAATTTTCACTAAGATCATGGTCCACAGCGATGGTTTGAACTATCATGGATCCTTCCGTGAGTTCGCTGTTGTTGATTCTAGGCAGCCATACACATCATCAACAATTTATGTTGCAGTCAAAAGTCCGGAAAAATTTCACACTGAAGCTATTTTTCAGGCTTACGATCCATGTGGAAATATTTGCAAGCCATACTGTAAACGATTTGGGCATTTTCAACCTTGTGATGGATCACTGAAACTTGATAATACACCTCCAAAACTATACGGCAAAGACTACGGTGAAGCCATTCAGTTAGTCTGGAGCATTACAAATGAAGGAATACCCATATTCCGACCGGATAATATTCAATTGCAATTCGTTTGTAACTGAATACATAACTCCACAATTTACATTTATTTATCGATACACGTAAAATTTACCTTTGTGTCAATTAAGAAATAATATAGCAAAATGCTTTAAACTGACAGTCGTTTCGATTAATAAATGTATTTTGCATTTGAGGTACTGGTGATTTTTAGTGCTTTTCCTGTTTGTTTCCAGTTCTTATATAACACCCATTTTATCATGTCACAAACAAATAGTATTGAGCTGTCTCTCATTTTATCAAAATATTTCATTGTATATCATTTTATTTAGTTAATAAACACATTTATCTTGTTACACCTGCTTTGAAATGTTCCAGTTTCGTCCCTACGTTAAATGACTAATGACTATAACATGATTTATCAACTAGTGGTATACAAGTAACTGCTTTTACTAAATTGGACTGCTATAATGCATATTTACTTCAAGAGAGTCTCAGAATCTTTCAGCAAAATTATTTTTGATATGTATATTATCTATTTTTTGCCCTTCATCTACATCTACCTATGAAACGTACATGATTTCAATCGTGGTGTTTTTCCTCAGCAAAATATACATGTAATAGTAAGGCCAGAACCTTCGGTCTGTATTCCGAAAATTATCCTGTTGATTTACTTAATTACTAAATACATGTAATCTGCTAAAATTTCTGTAGCTGTAAAGAAAAATCAGTTTTTACACCTACAATGCACTATATTTGAAATATATATATAGTTTCATATATTGTAATACACAAACAAATGCATCATTTCCAAAATCCAGACAACTAATACAGGGACATTTGCGTAAAACTTTCCTTTTGTGGAGAGAAAAGTTTTGAGCTCCATGAAATAAATTTGAAAGGTTGTAGAGAGTTACAATCTTAACATGCTTCTGCTGCTGAACCAGAGTTGTTAGAATTTCAGAAAAACGTGGATAACTACAATTGCTGATTTTTAAAAATAACTATTTTGATATTGTTACACGCTGTCGTTTTCACTCATTTGTCAAAACATAGGGTGACCACAGAGTACACAGCCCTTTTTTTCTGTCAAATTTTTCTTTAAAACAGTGTGAACTACCCCCAAAATTATGCCTACCAAATCTGCTATGCGTCTTAAAGTCAATTTAAACATCATCAATGATAATTTGTTGAATTTTGGCAAATATTACATTGGTTTTGTAAGTCCTTGTCGCCAAGGACGGTACCCATTTTGTATGCCCATTTTATCATTTTTGATCACTGAAATCAACTTGCTCAAGTGTCTATAAAACAAACATTGGTTGCTGTAAACATCACATATTTCAGTTAATATTTCTTTTGCATTCTTAACAAGTTTTACAGAAGCTTTACAAGAAGCGTATAACTTCACTCTTGTTAACCGATTCTTTACCATTCATTTTTAATGCAGTGCCTCGAATAGCCCTTGTTTTCCAGCTTCTTACAATGAAACTATATGATGAAATGTGGTCACATAAACGGTTATCAATTTATTTAAGATTCAGTCATGAGAGAAAGCCAATGTTAATGTAAAATGTTTTCTATGTTGTACGTTATAGAGTTCAGGACATAATTTATTGAACAGCCCTCGTATCACAAAAGATGAATTGACTACTGCGTAAAATGTAAAACTAGTTCTGGAAGCTATTTCAGCATGGTTTATCGAGCTTCAGTTGGTCCTCATGGTGAAAATGCAAAATATACCTCATTGCACATGCACAGGGGATGACACAACCAATCATATTCCAAAAGATAAATGGGCTTCTGCGTATAAAGTAAAAAGTAGTTAAAATTCCAAAACCGTATTGCAAAACCACGGTTTACCATCAATCGTATTTCAAAAGAAAAACTGGCTACTTCTTAAAATGTTAAAGGAGTTCTTAGAACATGGTTTTTGTAAAAAAAAAAAAAAAAAAAAAAAAAAAAAAAAAAAAAAAAAAAAAAAAAAAAAACAACACGTTGTTGTTCGACTCCGAATTGGTCCTAGGATGGAAATAGAAATTTGAAACCTTATTGCAAATCTACAGGACATCATGTCATAATCGAAAATATGAAATGGCTACTGCGTAAAATGAAGAAGACTTTCGTCGAAAAAAAGTTGTTTTTCTACCCCCCAATTGCCTTCTGAGTAAACAGGAAATTTTTAAAACCTAATTGCATATGTACAGGGCATTACCTTTCTTATTTCAAAAGAAGAATTGGCTACTGATTAAAATATAAAAAGAGTTTGAGGAAGTAGGTTTTGTACCAAAAACCGTTGATTTTTTATTCCCCCACTTGGCCTCAAGGATGAAAATGAAAATTCTAAAAACCTTATTGCGCATTCACAAGACACCACCTATCATATTCCAAAAGATGGATTATCTTTGCTTAAAATATAAGAGGACATTTTGACAGAAGATATAGTGTGGCCGACCGGCGGACCAGGATGCAGCAATAATATACGAACGTTCTTTAGAAACTGCGGATATAACAAGACACTGTCATAAGATAGTAAAACCTTTCAAAAGAGCGTTTTATCTCAAAATGAATTCTCCTTCGTACGTGGATAAATTGATTGAATTGTCACTCTATTGCTTTCGCTAACATTGATTATATATTTCAGGGTTGCATTACAATTAGGTGACCGTTCTGTCACATCGCCTCACATTGTAAAATGTCATTTTTCGGCCCCTTGTTGGTTCATAGGATGAGAATGAAAATTCTAAAGCCTTTTTGAATGTGTGAAAGATTCCAAAATATATTTAGCTATTGCTTAAAATGTGAGAAGTTCTGGGAACAGGGGTTTTGTAGAGAAACGTGGTTTTTCAACCCCAGTTATCCTCCTGGGTGAAAGCGAAAATTCCAAAACCTAATTGTAAATCTACATGACACCATCAATCATATTCTAAATGTATTTGGTTAGTGTGTAAAAAGTACAAAATGTTCTTGGAATATGTTTTTTTTTTTGTAGAAAAACGTCGTTATTCGGGCTCAATAGGCCTCCCAGATGAAAATAAAAATTCTGAAATTTTATTGCACTTTAACACATTTTATCAGATGATTTTGCTTCTTTGTAAAATGTGAGTAGAGCTCTGAGAACATACTAGGATGAATTAATAAATGAATCGTATTCAAAGTGATGATATGACTACTGCGTAAAATGTTAGAGAAGTTCTGGGAACCAGTTTTTTTTTCGATCCCTATTTTACCCCATGAAAAAATGTAAATTTCCAAACCTTTCTGCATATCTACAGGAGGACTCAATCAATACAATAGACTACTGCTTGAAATGTTAGAGGATTCTGGGGAAGAAGATAGTGTGACGGACGGACGGACCTGGATAACAAAAATTCCATTATACCCTAACTTTCTTTAAAAAGTGTGAGAATAAATATTCAAATGGAAAATATACATTAAAAAATGATAATTATAAGATACAAATGGAAAATTCAACATTACGAATAGCAAAAGTAATTCAGCAGAAATGGAAAAAAAGAATATAATACAGATGATGAAATATACAATACAAATGGACAAACATAGAATACAAATCGAAAAGATCGAATAAAACAACTTATAACATGCTATAGAACTGTTACCAGAAATATCCATGAACTCTCTAGATTTGTCAGACACTTGGATTTATTCACAGATCTGCTATCTGCAATGTCTGTGTTTTTAGTATGAAAACATATAGGATTATTGTTATTGTTATTAAGAATAGAAATCTAGACTCCATTGTCTGCTGGCAAGATATAATGCTCCTCTTCATGCCTGTGCATTTTGGATAAATAACCATTCTTGTAAAATACGTTTAGGTCCGAATCTTTCTAACCCCCTTATAACTGAAAAATCTTAATTAATACATCTTTGGGGGACCATATTGAAAAAAATATATATACCAAAGCGTAACTACATGAGTCGTTTGCTGATTTCTATTTGGAAATTAAAATAAATACATGACTACAGTGTACTTATTTTAATTTCCACATAAAAATCAGTAAACGACACACGTATAGCTTGATTGAATAGCAAAACAACATTTTATTAAGAAACAGTCAGAAAGCAATTTTATAATTTATATAATTTTTTTTTCAAAGTAAATTTGATTAAATGGTTCAGATTGATAAACAAAAATTCCCCCTCCCCCGAAAAAAAGCGGCCAGTAGATTCAAACAGATGGGATAAAAACTATTCCCCATCCGATTTTGATGACAGGGAAATAGGGGAGGTTAAATAGTATCTGCTGAATTTGACAATGCCATACACATTTACTCCCTCCCACCAAAAATTGCTTCGGTTTTGTTAGTTTAAACTAAATTATGGATGATGGAAAATCGAGAACGCAGTAAAATAAATGTACTGTTAAGTCAAATAGTCTGTATAATCAAAATAAATTTACATCTGATTATAACGAATTTCTTTTCAAGCATTGATGAAATGAAAGTTTTAAATAGTTAGCCTATTTTTAGACCATGAAAACTATTTATCATATTTTATAGACTTTTGAGTGCCAAATATTGATATGCCATTTATTTTTGTGGTTTATATTTATAAACATTCTATGTGATAAAAATACCGATGCAGAACAGATTTCATTTTTATTTGTCAATGTATGATTAATGGTGTAGAATATTAAAACATTAAACGTCTTATTTGATTCGCATGATCAGTTGTCCTACTAAGTACTACGTGCGTTTTTTGTCTGACCAAAATTGTTGATTAACTTCTGCCAGCGACGGTAAACCACATATATTTCATAGACATTATAGGATTTTAACGTTCTTTTTTCAGAATTTATCGATGTGTATAAAAGTATATAACTGAATAAAAGTGCGAAGCACTTTTATGTAAAGTTTGTGAGTACAAAGGCATGAGTTTACACGTCGATAAATTCTGAAAAAAGAAGTTTAATTTTTATAATTCCAATTACGAAGTTTTAAAATTATTTCTCTTTGAAGCCTCCATACAATCTGTTATTTCTGTACAGAGTAGGAATACTTTATGCTGCGATGTGGAGATGAATCACAATCGAGATGAACGTCGATAAAGTTCAACTTTAATTGTCAAAACATTTAATAAAATAAGCTTATAAAAACTCTTCGAATATTGTTTAAGTCAACAAATATCGTAAATACAAGTAGACTTCAAAAGAATCCGTCGTTGACCATGTTGGCATAACGACAGACGCTCTAAAAACGAAAGTAGCAGACCAACGACAACCTTGATTTGCTCTGGTTTGTTTCACAATAAAAGCTAGGTCAAGAAAGTAGTTCTGATTGAGAATTTATCGATGTGTAAACTTTTTCTTGAATTTGTTCTCGTCCAATCAAAA